TGATGCTAACTTAATGATGAAATTGAAGTTTCTTACATACAAGGTATCTTTTTTTCTCAGGAAGGTCGTCTGGGTAGAGAGATTTGTGATTTGTTGCAATTTCCTACATCTTTTACTGCATTAGTATCTTGATGTTGGACATATCTTCAATTTTTTTACAGTTGAGAACCTTTTTGATCCGTAATGGCCTATCAATTCTATTTAAAGACGGGCCAGCAGCTTACAAGACCTACTACCTTAGGTGAGCTGCTCTCTCCCTATGAATTTATACATATAAAATGATGTGTCAAATGTTATAGTGATGTTTTGATTAGCTTGCATTGCATTGTAGAACAAAACGGGCCATGCTCATTATGTTTTTGATTATTTAGGCGCTGACAGGATCAAGCTTTAATTTGATTTTTTCTTCTAATATTATTGTTTTTTATGCATCTAGGCAAATGCAAATATGGGGTACGTCAGAGGGAAAGCAGAAAGAACTTTGCAAGATGCTTGATGAATGGTACCAGAATCACTCTACTCTACAAATGTAGACTAAGCTCATATAGTTTTGTTTAAACTTATTCCTGAGAAATCACCTACTACCTAGATGCTGCCTTTCGTCCAATATTTTTCTCAGCCTTTAGCATCTCTTCTACTCATCACAATGTACAGGGCTACTTACATAAGAAGAAAGTGTGGGAATGATCAGCCATCTTCATCGACATACTTAAGTGAAGCTGAGCCATTCCTGGAGCAGTACGCGAAACAGAGCCCAAGAAATCAGATTTTGATAGGGTCTGCTGGGAACCTAGTGAGAACTGAGGACTTCTTGGCCATTGTTGAAGGTGATCTAGATAAAGAAGGTGATATTTTAAAGAAAGAAGGGGTAACACCAGCTACTCCAGAGCCAGCTGTGAAGGACGCTGTCCACAAGGATGAGGGGTTAATAGTATTCTTTCCAGGTATACCATTTGCATTGTTTATATATGATCTCATGTATTCGTAGTGTTGGTGTTACTTCATTTTTGTGGCATTTATATTAAACTTATTAATGGTAGTCGTTATTAGCTTCAATAGATTATAGATAACTGTTTTAGTAATCCAGATGATAAGAAACTAGTCGAAGATCAAGTTCTTTTTACTTCTGACCAGAAGTAAGAGAATGGTGGTATATTTCTCGATATGACAACTCCTTCCAGAACAGTGATATTCCTCAAGCTCTAGATATAATATTTCCTTTAATTTGTTTTCTTCTGATTTTTACAATTATAATTTGTTCTCAGGGATTCCTGGATGTGCTAAATCTGCACTTTGCAAGGAGTTATTAAACTCTCCAGGAGGCTTTAGAGATGATCGGCCAGTGCACACCCTGATGGGTGATCTTGTCAAAGGTATTTTAAAGTCTAGGGATTTCTTTTTTGTCAAAAATTGCTTTGGCCTCTCATTTTTAGTATGCCATCTCATGACCGGGCAGGAAAATATTGGCCAAAGATTGCTGATGAGCGTCGTAAAAATCCACAATCTATTATGTTAGCTGACAAAAATGCCCCAAATGAAGATGTCTGGAGACAGGTAATTTTATGTGTGCTTGGTTGACTGGAGACAATCTTTTTCAGACTACTTGTAAACCTGCCTTTAATAAATATATGTGTGCATAGCTTGTATTGTTAAAGCCTTGTTAGTCGCATTTTGTGTGTATTAACAAGTCTAATTCCAATACTATTCTTGTATTACTGTTTTAGATCGAAGACATGTGTCGGAGAACTAGGGCTTCTGCAGTTCCAATCGTTACTGATTCTGAAGGTATGTAATTATGATCCATCCTTTGATGTTGCCTTGCGGGCTGTTCAAAAATGGGCATAATAAGTTTATTCCATAATATTTTACCTTTAATTGGTTGGATGACCCTGCCAACGGTTTGAGGATGATTTATCTTTTACTGGAATTTGTTCCCGTTTTATTTGTATCTAAATCTAAGCTTGATACTTAATTTTCTTAAGAGGGTATAGTTAGAAGTTTATAATTTGCTTAAAACACAATTATATTGTTCTGTTTTGTTTTCACAATTACTGTCTCACCTCATCCTCTGTACTACTTGTGACCTTTTGCGTGATATATCCTTTTGGCCCTCTATGACCGCACAGGAACCGATACAAATCCATATTCGCTTGATGCCTTAGCTGTTTTCATATTCCGTGTACTTCAACGAGTTAACCATCCGGTATACAGTTGCATCTTATACAAAGTTTATCTTAAACTGCATCATTCAACTTGCATCACAACCCTAAACTTCTTAACAAATTATCGTTCCATTCAAATGCAATGATTTTGTTAGGGAAAGCTCGACAAGGCATCTTTAAATGCAGGCTATGTGCTCTTGATGTTTTATCACCTTTATGAGGGAAAGGTATTATCACATACACCACAACTTTTCTTTAAGTATATCAATCATTTAATCTCACATTTAACTGAACTGTCTTTTACTTCCAGAACCGTAAAGAATTTGAGAGTGAATTGATTGAGCGTTTTGGCTCCCTTGTCAAGATGCCACTGTTGAAAATAGACAGGTATATGGTGAAATCGCATAAGACCTAATAAAATAGAACTTGGCACAGCTATAAATTGCAATTTCGTATTTAATTGGTTTGTAAATCACGTAATTAACTTCTCTTTGCGCACATACAGGACTCCTATACCTGAGAATGTCAAAGAAGTTCTTGAGGAGGGCATAGATTTGTTCAATCTCCACAGTAGAAGACATGGGAGGTGGGTAGACAACACCACCATTTTACATGAAAAGATGAATTGTGTCATACCATGTTACATTTTAAACAACACTGTCTCGTTTGTCCTGACAGTAACAAATGGAAGGCAATAGTAACTATTTAGCAAAAACTAACGAAGAAGACATCAAATTTGTTTATTCTGTGGTTAGATGTACTTGTCTCATGTTACTGGAGAAATCCAACATATGAGTATGCTGACAGACGTTTTTATTTCTTGTTCTGAAGTTCTCTACTTCTTCTTTTCCACTCTAGTTTCCGTTTGGTTGCTTTTGACCTGTTTCCCTTCTGATGTAGACTCGAGTCGACGAAAGGAACATATGCAGCAGAATGGACCAAATGGGAGAAACAACTACGAGATACTTTACTTGCAAATTCTGAATATCTCAACTCTATTCAGGTAAAATATACTTTGTCATTGAGGGTCATGAAAGCTACAAATCTATGTTATAGTAATTTTCGATATTCATCAGCACATGATAAAAGATCACAAGAAGAAGGGATGCACATATAATGTCTTTGTTTCTGGTTTGCAACTTTCAGGTTCCATTTGAGTCTGCAGTTCATCAAGTGCGGGAAGAGCTCAAAAGAATCGCTAAGGGTGAATACAAACCACCAAGTTCAGAGAAAACAAAACATGGGTCTATTGTTTTTGCTGCCATCAACTTGCCTGCTACTCAAGTTCATAGTCTTCTTGAAACGGTAACCAACCAAATTCTTAAACTACCATTGAAAAAAAAAAGAATCTTATTATATATTTGAGATTATTGAGACACGAGCTCTGAAAGCCGTCAAAAACTAAAGGCTGAAATATCATTAACTTAAATCTGATTTTTGCTCCTGCTCACATCATTATCTCCTTTTATCTTATGCATCAGAACCTTGTATGAGCTTTGTTACTAATAGTTTTTTTCTTATCAGTTGGCCGCAGCATACCCAACAGTGAAATCTTTTCTAGAGGGAAAGGAAAAGAGAATACAGGAAAAGCTTGAACGGTGTCACGTGACGCTTGCCCACAAGAGAAGCCACGGCGTAGCAGCTGTAGCCAGCTATGGCCAGCACTTGAACAGAGAGGTGCCTATAGAGCTCACCCAGCTCATCTACAATGACAAGATGGCTGCTTTAACTGCCCATGTCGGATCTGTGGACGGGGAGACCATAATATCCAAGAACGAATGGCCGCATGTTACCTTGTGGACTGCGGAAGGCGTTACTGCGAAAGAGGCCAACACATTACCTCAGCTTTACTTAGAAGGAAAGGTGAGCCGCTTGGTGATAGATCCTCCAGTTTCAATCTCTGGTCCTCTGGAGTTTTTCTGAATAAACATTAACATGGAAGTTGCTCTCTCTTCACTTGCTTGTGGAATGGAATACAAATTAGTTTTGTTAATTGTTATGATAAACTGTTTCCATTGTCATGAGATTTTGAGGTTAATATATGTTAATTATGTATTCGGTGTTAAATAAATAATGGTGTAGGTGTCTTTCCATATCTGGATTCATTTAGATAACAAATATTTACTCTACAGAACAATGTCATATTGGGTGATAATCAAACTAATATACAAAAAGAGATCTCTAAGATACAAAAATGGATGGCGTGTTAAAAAAATAAATAAATAAGGAAATGATTCTTCACCAGCAGGTAAGAACATGATATCAACGAGGAGGAACTCATCCTCTTTACCATAAGCTCTTAGCCTCTTACTGACACATTATAACGACGATAGCCTTGTCTCTCTAGAGCCCGTTCAATATTCACAGCAACCTCACGAGGCTCAAGACCATCAGGGATTTTGCAGTCCTCCACGTCCTAGAAGACCCCTATCTTAGTCTCTTGGAAAGGGTTTTAGAATAACAGGATAAATGCATTAATTAACCAGTCAACAGCATATATAAAGAGAGAACATACTGAGATAGCTTACCACTGGTCACTGAAGGCATGGTTTCGACTTTCGACCAAGACGGAGATATTATTACAGAGCGACTTCTCCGGACATGGAAATGTTAAAATTCAGGGTTTAGATCTATGTTGTGACTGTGGTAGTGAATAGAAGGAAGAGCTTCCGGGCCTAGTTGTCGAGGGTTTAAGGAGAAATGGTCCGAAAAAGTTAATCGGTTAAGAACGTATAAGTTGACGGTTTGAACAAAATGTAAATATGGCAGTTGGTCTTAAGCGCATGATTAAGGTTCTGGTCTGAAAGGGCGTTGGTAGCATGGGATCGACGTCCTATTTCCCCCCGAGAACTATCACATCGTATCAGAACAACACAAAACTTCACTCTCGTCTTTAGTCTCCCCGAATTGATAGTTCTATTGCTAGTTCCACCCGAATCAAAAGTTCTATCTCTATTTCCCCAATCGCGTGGGTTTACATGGTTTTCGAACCAAACCCGATAGATAACCATAGAAACACGGTTTGAAACCAATTTAAAACCCGATTAAAAATCATGCCCGACCCGAATCCAGCTATCCAGATTATAACAGATAGTCGTTTAACGTTCTAAAATCCCCAATTTTGAAACTCAAGAACCCTAAAAATCGAAATCTCCAAAATCGAAAATCCCCAAATTGAACTCTGAGAATCATGAGTAATGTCTCAGGAGCTTCGAATTCTTCATCTCATGTGCGAGGTAGAGGAAGGACTTATGTGTTTGGCGTGCCCAAGAGATGTTGGTGTGGAGAAGATATTGTGGCCAAAAACTCTCACTCGGATGCAAATCCTTGTCGAAGATATGTTCGTTGTGGATATGCCTATGCGAAGAAGGTAATGCGAGTTCTTTTCCTTGCTTTTGGATTGGGTTGCTTGATATGCTAATTTTGGTTCTCATTACGCTTCTAATTTTTGAAATAGCTTGAGAATGATAATCATGTCTTCAAGTGGGTGGATGAGGCACTCTTGGATGAGGTTGAGAAGATGAAGCAGCAGATTGGTATGCTTGAGAAGAATGTGATGGTGGAGCTTGAGAAAAAGATGGTTATGGAAGTTGAGAAAGAGTTATGTGAGAAGGTTGAAGATGTGAAATCACTAATGCAAGCAAGGATGAATAAGATGCTAATTGGGATTGTCTTAGGTTGTATGATCATGATTGGCATAGTTAAGCTAGTTGGATGAGATGATCGTGTTTTTAGTTTCTTTCTTTAAAAACTAGTATGTAACTTCAAACAATTACCGTAAGCTATTTTCATATCTTGAGATGCTATGATTCAGTACCGTACAGCAAAGGCCAAAGAGACAATGGAACTAAGTAACTTCAAACAATTAATGTAAGCTTTTCTCACATTATTTACTTGTGAAAACAACGGCTTTGAGAGCTCAAAGCGTGCTATATTCAATCCTACGAGGCTCCAACACGATTTAATTCTTCAAACAATTAACATAAAATCCAAAACTTTTTATAAATCCAGATATCAAGAGTAACTAGATAACTCCAAACACCAACAAGCATTCATAACAACCAAAAAGAAAGAAAAAAAGAAAGCAGCCTTTGTTTTTATTTGATGATTGCTTCACTCAATCTCCCTTTCTCCTGAAAGAGCATCCTTCGGTGAGCCTCGCCTTTCCTCCGGTAGGCTGGCACAGGATTGTCTGGCAGTTTCCGCATACCACAACTGTCTGCGAGTGACTGAAAACGGTGGTGCTGCAATACCGAAAAACAGAACAAATAAGCTTTGTGTTTTTCATTATTTATGTAATGTAAAAGGGAAAAAGACTGAAAACAAGAAACTGTTTCGGGAGCTTACATGTTGAAGCAGCCTTGGCACTTCACATCCTACATTAAGGTAAACAACAGAAGAAACATATATCAATCAGAAACCATTGAGAGTAGAGAAACTTCAGACATGTAAACGAGAATCGGATTGAAATTGAAATAGACAATACAAAAAAAGAGGGATTCTAAAGCAGCAAAAGGATTTGAAAGACAACAAGCACATAGGCAAATATTTAACAACAACAATCACAGAGCAGCAAAAGCCTAAAACACCAAACTACAAATTTTAACAGAGAGATTTGGTTATTTAATCTCAAAAAGTTGTCACACTAGAGAGCCTCAGAAACAAAAATGAAAACCTCAAAATTCTAATCATAGAGATTTGGTATCAAAAGAATGAGAAAGGTATCAAAGTATGGTTACCATGAAAAAGGAGTTTGGAGACTGAACAAGACGCTTGAGCTTGTGCTTCCTCTTCTCAAGCTCAGCTGGTGGGTTAAGCAGATCGATATCGTTCTGAAGAACCTGTTCCACATCAAAAGATTCCCAGCAAATCAATCAAAATGAGAAAACGACACTTCTAGTCAGCTAATTCCGCATTCGTACACACCGATTCAACCTTACGTTATAGAAGAAGAGATCAAACGAGAAATTTACACAAAAATGGAGAGAAGCATTAACTCTTTTGTGACTCCGAAATTTTTCACAAAAAGGATTCATATAAGTTCATCAACAACATTAAATCAAGGCATGTAATGGCGAGAATCAAGAGCGAGAGAACTAACCATCTTCGCAAGAATCTCAAGAGACGACGGCGAGAGATAGCAGCAACGGCAACACAATAGGCGAGATAGATCGCTAGGGTTCCTAACTTGCTACTTTATCCTTTATATGTAAACACGATATCTTTAACCTTTTCCAAACCTTCTTACTCTAGAGAGTTACGTTCTCTTTTTCTTTTCTTTTCTTTTTTTTAATATTTTTTTCATTAATATAAATAAATAAATAAAAAAGCCATCATTTTCGTACGTAATAGAAAATTAATAAAATAATGTATTGATGTTGTTGACAAAAAAAAAAGTAACTTATAGTAAAATATTTTAGGATCATATTTGATTCACAAATTAGTTAATAAACTTCTTGAAAGTGCATCTTACTGAAAACCTCACTTTTTTTTTTTTAACTATTAAAAAAACCCCTTAATGGGTTGGGCCCTTAACAGGTCGGGCTTATCCTTACAGAAAAAACGAAAAAACAGTACCCAAAAGAGGAAAACGGAAAAGTCACCGGAACTAGACCAGAGGATCGGATCTTGCTGTATAACCGGAGGCAGGAAGTCAGGGCATAAAATCCGGCGGTTTCAAGGACCACGACGTTGCGGCAGACGAGGGCGTGGACAACTCGGACAAGAGAAACCGGATCCTGCCGTTGAATCCACTCCATCGAACCACCAGACCTGCTACAATCCTCCCAGTATGCTCAACTCCTCGACAACCGGTTCCGAAATGTCAGATCCCACGCCTAGCAATCTGACAACCGGGAATCTAACCCCTCTAACCAACACCGGAACCCTCGTAAACCTCTGAACAAAAACCCTTTCAAACCGGTACGGTAGAAACCACTACGGCGGATCCAGAGGTTGACGGCTCAGACAGACACTCCTTTACCGGAACCCGCAAGGCCATAAGGATCGCAAAGATCGACCGTAAACCACCGAGACATCACAGCGAAACCCACCACTACTCCATCGACTTCCGTCGTAACAGTAACGACCAGATGGACGGTTGAGCCATGGAAAGACTCCGTTACAACCGCTAGCGTCTTCAACCAGGGTTATGCGCAACAGATCTCTCCTCCGTCTTACCGGAGCGACCGCTACATCGATGAAGAAGATACCACACCGCCGCTGTCGGAGAAAGAATCTAGCCCATCACTGTAACTCAATTTTTTCTAGAAACAGCCAAAGATGAAGCTCTGAAAAACACAAGAAGAAAAGGGAGAAGGAGAAACTACGCATACACCAGTCATGACTGGAGAAAGAGCTTCCCCCTCAGATCTGTTGGCGGCTAGGGTTTTGTGGTGAGAGGAGGGAGAGTTTTATTTTTAGGCCGCTCAAAGGCTCAGTACTTGGAGCTCAGCAACGTAACTCTTAATTACACGTGTTTTGTAGCTGGACCAAAAGACCATCTGATCCCTGAAAACCTCACTTTCTTTCTGTAGATTGGCATAAAACGTTCTAGCATCACATACTACCTAAGTCTTTGAGTAACTGAAAACAGTTCTGCTGCGATACAAAAAAAATAAAAATACAAAACCATTATAAGTTATGTTTCTTTATTTTTGTAAACCTTCAATAAATGAACATATTGTTTTTCAGATCTTACACGTTGAAGTAGCCTTCGTAGTTCACATACTACAGTCAAATACGCAACAATCATAATCTATAGAAAGAGAGAGAGAGTAGTAGATCATTTACAAATGGAGAGATTTTTTGTAAAAAGGATTTTATATTCTTTTTCAACCCATAGGAAGTTGATGAATTATAATTTTTGAGATCGCTAACTAGTAATTTGCTTTTTTCTTCTATATATAGACTATTTAGTGCATCCATTGTGTATTTTTGTAGTTTCTTAATCTGTAATGTATGTAGCTTTAATTCTTAGTTTTTTTTTTCCTGAGGAATTTTATATACGTAAAAAATGTCCATTTGATTAAATCTTCATGGATATCATATGTAAACAACTTGTCAAAAAGTTCACTATTGATCTTACACGATTGTTTGTTTGATAGTTATTTACGACCAAACCACAAATGGTTCACTTAGACGTCTTGATCATATGCATCCAAATGGTGATAGTTTAGGATTTAGGGTTTAGGGTTATGGTTAAATTTTAGTGTTTGGGATTTAGAGTTTAGGGTTCGGGTTAGTTTTTTGGGTTTAAAGTTTAAGGTTAGGGTTTAAGTTGCGATTCAAGATTTATGTTTAGCGTTTAATGTTTAGAGCTAGATTTAGGGGTTAGGCCTTAGGATTTGAGTTTAGAATTGGGATTTTGGCTTTACGGTTTAGGAATTAGAATTTAGGATTTTAAATCCATAGGAAGTTGATGAATCGTTAAGAGCAAAGAACTTCATGTTGTGTAAGAAACTTGAGTAGGACGTTAAAGAAGACACATAATTTTTAGTATTGATAATGGTGAGTAAAATTTTATATCCACATACGATTTCTTCAAATCTTTGTGGATATCATATAATATATATGACTGTTTTGAACATGTAAAAAATTGTTAATACAGCTCACCATTGATCTTGAATAATTGTTTGTTTAATAGTTACTAGATTTGGACCCGCACGTACGTGCGGGATTGATTTCAAAAACAAATTTTGTTATTAAATTTTGAAATATATTATGTGCGTACAAGATTATGTTTGTCAACGTAACTTTTAGGAATGTTATTAACATTTATAATCTAAACTCATACCAATTCAATATTTGATTTGTTTTTAAATTAGGTTAAACAAAAAGAACGATATGATTTGGTTTTATTAAAGACAATTGTACCTTAAAACAAATAGTAAAAGAAATGTGGTTTGTCAATTTCGGGACATAAACCTTATCCCGTGCGTCCTAATATGTCATGTTTTTCCATCCCATAACCATTTTAATAATTTACCCATTTGAGATTGTATATTTTAGTCAAACATATAAGAAAATAGGTCAACGATTTAGACTTACACATAAATATAAGGTTTTATTTGTAGATATATTTATTCGCTATAGCTTTTATAACATAAACTAATATTGGTTTGTTTTCATGAAGTTTTATTATGTCTGATCGACATGATAGCGGATGCAGATTGAGTGTGAACAAACATAATAATAATAATTAAACAAAAACATTTGGTCCCGGATGAACTAAATATATTTGTCAGCGGGATCAAACACGTCCGCTATGCATGCTCCAGACTAAAAATATTTTTAAGTTAATACAGATTAAAATATTTTGACCCGTAAAAATACATTTCCTATAATCCACATTAGTAGATAGTATGTCTCCATATGTTCTTCTTAAATTCACGTTACCCCAAATTTTCGTCCCATATTCTATCATTAATAGTTTAGATGTTATTTTTTATGTTTCAAATTACCCGTGCCTGTTTATTTCATGTTCCGATATCTATACTATTAAAAGGGAAGCATTTTGTATAAAGTGAGCATAGTATATACAATTAGAAGGATAACTAAAAAACAAAAAATCTATATTTATGGAAATAATATTGATTTGGTTAGCATAAAAATAGACAGTTAAATTCGAAATTAAACATATATAAACATATTTAATCTAAATAATATTATTTTGTGATATTTCAAAAACAATAATTTATGTTTAAAAAATATAATAAAAACT